TATCTACGAGTCTAACTTAACTCACTTAATATGCTATTACAAACACAATCTAAAGGTTCTTTTTTTTCCCCTCCTTTTCTTCCTCCTCCATTCTTTATATATTAGGTATCATATTCTGTATTCTTTGTCTATCCCTTTTTATTACATCTGGTAACAGCTATTTAACCTTAGGAACACTTCCGTCTATAGCAGTCCCTCAAAAATACACTGTAGAGATGGTTTGTGGGAGGTAAATTCTCTCCCAAAAGAAAAGCTTTTGCTTATCTCGAAATTGTTTAATCCCTCCTTCAGATTTAAATGATAATCTTGCCAGATAAGGTATTCCTGGTTCAAGGCCCTTCTGCTTCATTGCATTAAATATATCATGCCATTCCCTTCTGGCCTGTAAGGTTTCTGCTAAGAAATCTGATGATAGTCTGATGGGTTTTCCTTTGTATGTGGTCTTATTTCTCTCTCTGGCTTCTTTTAATAGTCCATCCTTATCCTTGATCTTTGCCATTTTAATTATTGTATGTCTTGGTGTTGTCCTCCTTGGGTCCCTTGTGTTGGGAGATCTGTGCACCTCCATGCCTGAGAGACTATCTCCTTCCCCAGATTGGTGAAGTTTTCAGCAATTACTTCCTTAAAGACACTTTCTATCTCTTTTTCTCTCTCTTCTTCTTCTGGTACCCCTATAATATGAATATTGTTCCATTTGGATTGGTCACACAGTTCTCAATATTCCTTCATTCCTAGAGATACTTTTCTCTCTGTGCCTCAGCTTCTTTGTATTCCTCTTCCCTAATTTCTATTTCATTTATCGTCTCCACCATATCTAATATGCTTTTAATACCCTCCATTATGTCCCTCAATGATTGGATCTCTGTCCTAAATTCGTGCCTGAGTTCTTGAATATTTTTTTGTACCTCCAGGAGCATGTTTATGATGTTTATTTTGAAATCTCTTTCAGGAAGGTTTGTTAAATCAGTCTCACTCGATCCTCTTCTGGTGTTGAGATTTTGCTTTGAACCAGGTTCCTTTGACATTTCATATGTGTATATGGCACTGTCTAGTGCCCAGAAGCTCTACTCACCGTAGCTGCTCAGCACCCAGAGTGATTTTGGGGGTTGCAGGGGAGTGGTGCTGGTGCCTGGGGGGAGGAAAGAGCTGTTTCCTGCTTCCTGGCTGCTATGCCTGTCTCCACTGCCAGAACCAGTGGACCAAATGCACGGGTGTAAGCCTCTATGCTTTGTGTTTGTAGCTGCTATAGGTGGGGCTTCCCTCTGGCTGGCCTGACACCAGGGCAGTGGCTGCCGGTTTGCGAGCCAGGTGTGGGCTAGCTGGAAGAAAGGTGCAGCAGGCTGGGTATCATGGTGGGGGCCCTTGGAGCTGCATAGCCAGCCAGGGGGATAGAGCGCCTGAAGATCATTTAAGTTCCCAATCTGCTGGGCAGAGTGCACTGGGACAATTTTGTCTACCTGTCCTTTCTCCTGAGCAGTAAGCTCTCTGTAATCCTTGCTCTTTTAGCAGCCCTCTTGCTTTTAGGAAATCTCTCAGACTGCCCACCCAGATCAGCTGGATATGAATCCCTGTTTTCCACAAGCAGCTGGAGTCTCAGTCTCTCCAGGTATTCCGCCTGTCTTAGCTTTCCAACCCCACTAATTAATTACCAGAGCAACATGCAACGTAAATTCATGCTCCCAGAGCAGATTCCCAGAGCTAGGTGTTCAGCAGGCCCAGGCCTCCATTCCCTCCCTGTTCTGTTTCTCTTCCTTCCGCTGGAGAGCTGGGGTGGGGGAATGGCTTGGGTCCCGCTGGGTCACAGCTTTGGTACGTTGCCTTGTTCCGTGAGGTCTGCTCTTTTCTCCAGGTGTATGAAGTCTGGCACAGCCTTCTTTCCTTTTGCTTTTTCAGGATTAGTTGTATTAATTATATTTTCATATTATATGTGGTTTTAGGAGGAGGTTTCTGTCTTACCTCTCATGCCACCATCTTTAATCCCAAGTCTTTTTCCTGTATTTTTCTAGTTGCTTTATTGTACCTCTTACATTAGGTCTGTAATCCATTTTGAGTTAATTTTTTTCCATAGTAATAGTTCATTGTTCCAGCACTGTTGTTGGAAAAATTATCCTTTCCTTATGGAATTGCTCTGGGCATCTAGTTGAAAGTTGGTTGATGATGTATGTAAGGGTCTGTTTATGGGTACTGCATTGTTCCATTGATTTATTACATCTCTCTTTTTCACCAGTCCTATACCGTCTTTATTGCTGTAGCTTTATTTTAAGTCTTGAAATCAAGTAGTGTTAAATCTTCCTAGTCTGTTCTTTGGGAAATAGATTTGGCTGTTCTAGATCATGTGCATTTCAACATATATCATAGAATCACCTTGTCAATTTTTATAAAATATCCTGCTATAATTTTGATTGTATTGATTGTATTGATTGTATCAGTACTTATTTCCTTTGTATGTCTGGATAATATTCCACTGTATAGATGTATTGATGTTGTTTATCCTTTCACCTGTTGATGGACGACTATGGGTTATTTCCATCTTTTGACTGTTGTGAATGTGCTGCCATGAATATTCATATTTAAGTGTTTAGTACCTGTTTTCAATTATTTTGGTATATACCTTGGAGTAGACATGCTGAGTCATATGGTAATTCTATGTTTAACTTTGAAGAGCTACCAAACTGTTTTACACAGCTGTTGTATGATTTTACATTTCCACCAGCAGTATAGAAAGGTTCCGGTTTCTCTTGCCATTCCTTAAAGCATTTTCCTTTCTTTTAGCGATAGCTGACATAGAGGGTGTGAAGTGGTATCTCACTGTGGTTTTGATTTACATTTCTCTAATGACTAACTAATGATATTGAGCATCTTTTGATGTTCTGGTTGCCCATTTGTATATCTTCTTTGGGAGAAAATGTCTTTTCAAGTCCTTTGTCCATTTTTAATCAGGTTGTTTGTTTTTTGTTGTAGAGTTTTAAGTTTCTTTTGCATATTCTAGATACTAGGCCCTGTATTATACATTATATATATAATTTGCAAATTCTTCATCCCATTCTGTCAGTTCTCTTCATTTTCTTAGTCTTTGATGCACAAAAGTTTTTAATTTTTAAAGTCCAATTTACTTTTTTCTTCTATTGTTCTTGCTTTTTATGTCATATATAAACATTCACAGCTAAATCCATGATCATGAAGATTAACCCCTATGTTTCCTTAAAGTCTTATAGTTTTAGCTCTTACATATTGATTGTTAATCCATTTGCAGTTAATTTTTTTATATAGTGCAAAGTGGGGGTACAGTTTCATTCTTTACACATGTGGATATCCAGTTGTCTCAGCACCATTTGTTGAAGAGGTTGTTCTTTCCCCACTGCATGTTATTGGCCAGCTTATTGAAAATCATTAGGCCATGGGTGTGTGGATTTATCTCTGGGCTCTCAATTCTATTCCTTTGGTATATGTCTATCATCATGGCAATACTATACAAGTTGACAGCTGTTAACCTGTAGTGTATTTCAGTATAGTATATTAATTTTTCAAGTTTTGATTACATTTTAGAAATTTAAACTATAGGTAAATTCATTAAAGAGTTTATCTCCACTAAGTTCCACTTAAATTAATGTAAATTAAATTAGTCCCACTTAGTACGTCCACTAAGATTTACACTAACACACATACAAATAAACTGATAGATAGTTGTTTATAACTTTTTGGTATGTTTCACCATTTCTCTGGGTGCATACAGAATAGAAATTTAAATATGCAGTATGTCAGTGTATTCTGTTTGAATTTTCACAGTGTGATAAACTTACTTTGAGCCTTTGAATGAAGAACTAGTTACATAAATAAATTCAACCTGCCAAAAGATGCTGGTGCTGGCTATTAGAAGATTTGTATCACAGATTTGTATAGTATCAGGAAGGAATCACAAATCTATAGTTTCTAGAGAAAAAATGGCTGGAAATTCTGCTTTCTATGCACATCATGGTTTTAAACTTCACTTAGTATAACAAAAATTTTGGTACTTTAGAATCAGTATGATATGCCTCTGGAGTCTTTTAATCTACAACCTCTCTCTCTTTTTTTTTTTTTTCTCCTGTAGTAATTTATTTGCTGAAGAAACTGGGCTGTTGGCCCTGTTATTTTCCAAAGTCTGACTTTTGCTGATGGAATCCCTGTGGTGCAGTTTAATATGTTACTCTGGGTTCTTTATTTCCTGTAAGTTAGTAGTGGGACATAAGGAGATCTAGAGACTTGATCAGGTTCAGATAAAAACTTTTTGTTACATGTTTATTTCATGGGTTATATTTGTGTCATTTATCAAGAGGCCTGGAATGACTTTTCAAAATCTCTTCTCATGATGTTAACTAATTTTATTTTGATTAATTTTTATTTTAACACTTCAAAGGCTTTTAGAGAAGATGATGAGAGTTTAAAATATAAGCTGTAGAGTCCAAGAATCTGGATTCATGTTTTGATTCATTACCTAAGTCAGTTCCTCTTCTCAGTGTTGAGTCTCCTGTCTGTGGAAGGGGGATGATGATTCCTACCCTTCGGGTGATTTTGAGGTTTAAATGGAAAAGAACCTTGCACAGAGCCTAGCATATATTAAGTGGTTAATAAACATTCAATATTATTGTTGTTTTGTGAATTTAAAAATATTCTAAAACAGTCTGAAAAGTAGATTATCTTTATTTATAAGTGAGGAAATTAAAGTTAGGATAGCTAATATTTTGGCTCACCTGCCTGGATTTGCTTAGGGGAAAAAGTAAATAAATTATTCAGCTGAGGCAAACAGCTCTCCTTTGTTCCCATCAATGTGTACAGTTGAATTTAATAACCACTCATAGTAGGCTTAATTTCAAAAGAGATTTTCCCCGTTCTTTGTTACATATTCACATTAACCAGCCCCACCAAGTGTTGGAAAGTTGGCTCTTTGTTGAATAAACCATACCACAGCATATTTTATGCTTATAGTACACTGAGAAATACTTAATGTTTTTATTTTACAGTGTAATGTTCAAGTTCAGAAATGCCTTATGTGGATCGTCAGAATCGCATTTGTGGTTTTCTAGACATTGAAGAAAATGAAAACAGTGGAAAATTTCTTCGAAGATACTTCATACTGGATACCAGAGAAGATAGTTTTGTATGGTACATGGATAATCCACAGGTTTGTAAAATCCAGAGGGTTACCTTTTTTCAAAAGCATAGAGTTTTCATTATTATTTAACAAACTATATAGCTGTTAGGATTTGTTTTCCTAAACAGAACATACTTAGATTTAATTCTACTGACTGTATTCTTCCTGCCCTGTATCCCCAACTCCTACTGTCTTATTTTAATTTCAGAAGATAAAACTAAGTTTATTTCATAAAAATTTGTGCATGTGTACATTTACTTTTTTAAAATTTTTCCTGGGGAGAGAGATGCTATCTCTAGTAGAAAATTCTTAAATCATTAAATTTAAGATACTGTCTGATAGTAATGGGGTATCTGGTGGGGACTTGATAATAGGGGGGAATGTAGTAACCACAATGTTGCTCATGTGAAACTTGAGCATAAGATTGTATATCAATGATACCTTAATAAACAAAAAATTTAAGATACTGTCTCTAGGACAGAAATTACTACCTTTTGGTAAATAACTGGACCAGTTGACACTCTTCACATATGTAGTCTCTTATAGTATCAGACTTGAGTGTTAGCCATTGTAATGCTGTGTATGAATGAGATGCACTTTGATTTTATTGTTGCCTTGCAAATCACTGGGGGGGAAATGCCGTAAATTAAAATTTAAAACCCCAGTTTTAAGATTTGTGAGAGACCTTGATTTAGAGATCATCTGTCAAGTAGGTTTTACATTTTCTCTACCTATGTAACTCTTTATTCACATTGAGATGTACATTGCAAGGAAGTGTGTGCAAAGCAAGGGATGAATCCTTTGCAATCTTCTAAGCTGATCTGGTTTGTGGGCTTCTTGTGCAGGTGAGCAGCATAAAGGCGAGGGAAGAGCAGAAACTGGTAGGAGGCTCTGTTCTGTATCACAGAACCAGATCTAGATTCCCTGACAGCTTGTCTAATGTTCTTTACTACTCTATACTGATTATAGGTTAGACAAAATACAGATGTGCTAATGCATTTATATTCGTTTGTGTGGAATTCGAGTCGTAAAGGACCTTAGTATTAATTCAGTGCCCTCCTTAGTGCCAGAAACCCATCTATCCCTGATCTTCACTTTAGCTGTTGTTTGAACTGCACATTCCTAAAAAGTACTTATTATATTGTGACAGCTTTAATTATTATTCTGGGAGTCAAAGTCTAGTTCCTTGTATCTTCTACCCATTAATCCTACTTTTGCCCTCTGATTTTCTGTAAAGTTAGTCCTTTACCCACATGCATCCTTTCAAATTTTGGAGGATTATTTGTAATTTAATTCAATCTAGATTATTTGAGTGCTGACTTTCTGTCAGACTCTTTTTGCTAGGAAGTGTTTTCTGTCCTTATAGAGCTTATTGATACTGTTTTATTCACTTATCTCTGGGTATAACCAGTTTTCTTGGGTGGTAGGTGGTAGTAACGTGGCTATGCAACTACATGATTGTATCTTTATTTACTTGGCCAGACTCAGTGGGACAAGGAACAGGAAACCAAAATTTCATGTTTCCCCCTTTTTTTTTTTTTACCATAAATCAAATTCCTTCCTTTTATGACCCCATCCATCTCTTTATCTGTGGCACAATCCCCTCCCAAACTCCTTTTCTCAAGGTAGAAAGTAACGTCCCTCTGACTTCCTCGAATTACTAGTTACTAGATTCCAGTTTCTGTTCTCCTCACCTATGCAGACTATTGCGCACTTCTGCCTTTGTTCGCTCCGATTTGTCTCTCTTCCCAAGACCTGGTTGGCTTAATATGGTTTCTTCTGAATTTTATTTAAGACTCCTTGGTTGTTTTTCTGTCCTTATATAATATGTTCTCCTCAGAATTCTTCCTTTTTTCAATGCTTCCTTCTTAAACAGAGCTAAATGAAATAAGTACAAAATAGCATATGTTCATGTGCTGAAGGAAATAAACTTGGAGTTCATAGTTAGCAGAGGGAGTTAAATCTTCATGGAAGTGGTAACATTTAGAATTGACCTAAAAGGACAGATAAAATTCTCCCACAGGTGGAGAAGTGGGTATTCCAGTTCTTAAAGAATTGCATAGGCAAAGAAATCAAAGCAAGAAGGCCTGTGGCATATTTGAAAATAGCTCACTTTGGCTATAGTAGAGAGGGTATATGTTAAAGTTTGTGCTCAACTAGGTCTTCATTACACTAATGGTGTCATTAGTGCACTGGTTTTTCTATGAGTGTAGTCCAGAATATTAAATCTGTCTTTTTATTCAGTTCTTAATAATTTTCTCTCTTCATTCCAACTGGTAAGAATCTTTTATACTCTTGATTCTGTCAACCAGTGTATTAGCCATCAGTACCATTTTGTGTCACTTTTAAATGTATTAAGACTTAAATCTCATTATGAAAACTCTAGTAAAATGTCTTGCTAAGATTATATTAGGTTGAACCATGTGAAATTACCAGTATACTACCATTTTGATAAACTAAAAAATGACAATTTCATGATTCAGTCTAGTTGCTTATGTTACAGTGCTGTTACACAGTTATACTGATCACAATAACTCTGATAATGAAAGAAAATTATCTTTCATTATATGTGTGTAATGTTATGTATGTAAAAAAATGTAAAATTATATGTTAGCACATATATAGATGAGTTTTGGGCTCATCTATCCTTAGGGAGCCATTCTCCCTTTGTTTTGATTTCTTTACCACTAACCATTGGTTTAAAAATCCATTCTAGCCTATTACTAGTGATCAGTTTAGGATTTTCTGTGTTTTTTTGAGGACTTCGGTAATGGTGGAGAATTAAATAATTGAATAGCTGTATTAGATGAATTTCAAGAAATTTGAAAAAGTGTTTTGGTAAAATGAATGCAAATAGCTTATTTCCCTTTTTATCTTAAATGTCACATTGATTTGTTGTTTCTTGTTTATTGTCAAGAAATTTGACATCAAATTTTGAAATGTGTTTTTTCCTCATTGAACTTGGCAGCAATCGTACTGGTCCATAGAAACTAGGTATTTTGCATATCTTTTATCTCCCAGCTACTTACATTTCCCTGTACTTTGCCACTCTAATTTATGACCCTTTAAGTCATGCAGCCATGACATAGTTTCTCATAGCTCTTCCTCATACAAAGGCTTAGAGCTCTATTCAGTTAGTTAAAATAATATACTTATGGAGGACTTAGAAGAAAAATAGCACTTTTGAATGGAAGGGCAGCAGTGTTTGAAAAAAATCACCTTGATATTAGTTAGGAGATCTAGAAGACATTTTATCATTTCATTTCCTTATCCAAAATTAAAAAAAAAAAAACAAAACCAAAAATCCTCTAAGCATAAATATATATAAGAACACAACCACTTCATGCATTATGGTGGAACAGAGTAGAGTTCAATTTTGTTAGCACATATAAACTTGATTTCAGACCTACTAAATACTTGGGCTGAAAAAGTTGATTTGTAAAATGTGATATTAAAATATCTAATTTCTTAACTTTTTTTATTATGTATAGAACATTATAAAATAAATACATAGTATTGGATATTAATTATATATTAATTTGTTTCTAGAACCTTCCTTCTGGATCATCACGTGTTGGAGCCATTAAACTTACCTACATTTCAAAGGTAGTCTTTCTGTATTGTCTTACTTTCATGCATGACTTAAAATCCCTTAGAATGGGAGTGTGAGTAAAAGGAGCGATTTCCTTTCTACGTCATTTAGTGATGATGTTCAGATTCATATCATGCTGCAAACAGTAACTGGTCACTGTGTTTAGGAAGTTCTTTGATAGAACTAGGAAGAATAAGGAGTTAACAGGATGTGGCAAACTGCAGAAGTTAACTTTTATGATCAGGTATATGAACAATAGAAGAGAGAAATCAGTTAACAATTAGGTTCAATCTCCGGGAAATCTGGAGATTTTCTAAGTCTGTATTATGTTTTTTAAAACTGTTTCCATTTTTTAATTCCATTACTTATGACCTTTTGTTTCTTTGTTTTATTTTGAGGAAACTATGAGCCATCTTCATGATGAAAGAATGATCTGTCCCTCATTTCACTTTGTACTAATTTCTGTTTTCTTATTTGTCAATTTTTCTGGAATTTTTGTAATACTATTTTTCTTTTCTTTTCAAAAACATAAATTTGATATTGTCAGGTAGTTTTGTTCCCTTATTTTCTTTTATTAGTGTTTGGGAAACTGGGATAGAGATGCTGAGTAGCAGCCCTATGGGTTTTTTGTATTTTATACAAGATAATAAGTTTGTTGATGGCTTAAGATATGAGATGTGAAAAGTAGCAGCACAGTATGATTCAGTAATATGCATACTGTTGTGCATGTGTCGGGATTTGTTAGCAAAGGTCTTCAGTATATCAGTTTACAAATGTGCCTCTATTTGAAGACATATTTTTATAAGTAAAATATTATCAGTATCACAGTAGAGCTATTTATTCTCATTGACAAAAAAATTACCGTTGGGCAATAAAGATTACATGTTTAAAGGGAAACATTTGACATTAAAGCCATATTATGTAAATTTACAAATATTGACAAATATTATGTAAGTATACCACAGGTGTTCCTATAAATTAAGACATTTAATAAATGCTTCAGGGTAGCTTGCAGGTTATAGTCTATAGAGCTTAGTGTCAAGAAGCATAATACATTTAATGTTTAGAGCCCTGATTTGCTTGATTGCCTGCAGTATACATGTACTATAATGTAAATATACTGCCAAGCATTTTTGACTTTCAGTGAAGTGATGTGGAAAGGCCTATTTTATTAGAATAGGCAGCTGAGAGAGAGATTGCCCATCTTTTCAATACAAGAGATTGCTTGTATCTTTTCAATTGCGTATTGCCTGGTCTTTTCAAAAATGGAGCTCTTTTTAAAAATTAAGTATTAATGAAGCAAGCAGGCACCATGGCCAGCTGCTTTCCCCTCCTCCATTGTGTTGTCCTGTTAACTTTCATCTGTCACATAGCTTACTGAAGTTTGAATTGTACAGTTTGTACTCTAGACATGCCACTTTTTTTCCAGAATTTATTCCTGGAACAAATTTCATTGTGACTCAGGCTGTGAATTTGTAGTTGGGATCAGTCAGGAACCCCAGACTTAGAATTTCTTTTGAAGGTGCAAAACAGATGCTACAATTTTAAGTTTTAACACTGGGTGACAGCATGGCAACAGACATGAATGGGCTTCCCAGAAAGCTACTTTATTTCAAGGGATAGTTGTAGCCAGGTGCAGTTAGTTGCTCCACCTTCTGAAAAGAACCATGTGCTGCATGTAGTGAAGTGACCCCATTAATTTTGGATTTTTGAACTTTACCTTACTAAAAAGACAATCTCTCCATTGTCCCCCTCTGTTTTCTTTTGCAGTTCACAGCTAACTTAGAAATAATGCAGTTTGGGAAGAAGTAATAGTTTCTGTATTCATTGATTGTACTTTGAAAATAATGTTTAAAAATATTTATATGTGTGACATAAAACTTAATGGTTTACTTTCAGTGTCTTCACATTTCCTTTGAAGAAAAAACAAGTTTGTTCAGAGACACACAGTATCATTCGTTCTGAACACTTTACAGTTGACATCCATGCCCTATATTTAATTTGCAGTTCTTTTTCAGTTTCCTTCAAAATTTAATTTTAAATCTATGTGCTGAATGTATACGGTTATTGGGAAATCGTACATGTGGAAGTTTACACCGTATTTAAGGTTGGTTATGGTAGCATATGAAGAAGTGAGTGACTCATTTCTCTCTTTCTTGTTAGGTCAGCGATGCAACTAAGCTAAGGCCAAAGGCTGAGTTCTGTTTTGGTAAGTAGCCATATTTTATGTGCTCGTTATTTTATGTTTGACTGATATACCATATTATAAAAGAAGAGTCACCAAAGCTACAGACAGAAACCTACAGTATGATTAATTATTCTAAGACACATTCCCTTGAAACCACCTCCCAGATGAAGAAATAAAACTTCCCCCTTTCCCTTAAAGCCTCTTTTCCATGTTCCATCCTGTCACGAGCTCCTCCATCTACCCATTTGAAATCATTATATAGGCATTTATTGTGATCACCTCCAGTGAGATTTCAGGTCATTTTTAACTTTCTTCCTTGTGTTATTCTATATTAAATACATAAATAATGGAAAGGATTTGTTTTTCAGCTTGTGGATAATGAGAAGTTTACAGTTGAGGGGCAGGGGTAATAGAAGATATCTGATTAACTTGTTCAGACATTTAGTGAATGTCTAGTTATGTGCACTGTGCTTGACACTGGGGCTATGAGAGTGATAACAAGCAATTGTTGCCCTTTCAAATCTCACAGACTGGCTTTCATATATGTCCAGTAAGAAAATAGGTTATGAGCAGGATGTAATATAGCTGTTCAGAGAATCCATCATGCTGTATTTGGTACCACTAAGACATTTTTTTAAAGTTAGGTGTTCATTACAAATCTATAATGTTGGTTACAAAATAGGAAAATGCCTCAGAGCCTTGTGAATGAAAGGCTGCTGGCAGCAAGTCAGGTAACAGAGAACTTTATATGTAGCTTTATATTTTATATTAATGATGCACATAATTCCCAACAAGTCTTTTTAATGTAAAATCTCAAACTTACAGTTTGAAGGAATAGTAATACACACTAATAGATTTGACATTCCGTTATTGGGGTATTTGGAATAGGTGAATAGGTGGGATCAAACAACTAATTAAAATTTGTAATTTATTGGTCTGCTAATAGTTTATTAGTTCTCTACTACTAGAGGGAATAGAGAAAAGATTCATAAAATGTTGCCTACAGAGAGGGAGGCACTGGCTTCTAAAACAGAACCACAACTTCGATTCAGAATGGCAACACAAAGCCTCTGTTTCTTCTCAGATTGCCTAAAAACAGTGAGAATACAAAAGACTCAAACCATTTTTGATGAAACTAGCAGACATCTGTCACTCACAGTATAAAGATGGGAAGTGGGTGGAGGAACGGTAAATACTTAGCAGGGTAGAAGAAGAGGCCAGTGAAAAGCTAGCCTTTTCAGTGTCTTGCCCCAACCCCAATTCTGGATAGACTTAGGTACTGGATACAGGCTTGGAAGCAACAATGAGAGGGGCCTGAAAACAGGGACTTTGATTGTCAAACAGCCTGTAGTCCCAGCTTCCATCTTGCTCAGTCAGACAGCTGACTTTCCGCCATCCCAGCAAGAAATACCATGTGTAGTATCTCCAGAAATAGGATCAGTGAGCCTCTGTGCTTGGGGACACTAGTCCTAGAGAAGGGGAGAGACGAGGCATGAAACTGAAAGTAGAGGGACTGAATGGAAGTCTGCGTACTGAATGCTACCCTTTCCTGTGTCCAGCCCCAGAGCACTGGGCAGCCAGGTGCAGGTGGTAAGACTGAACACCTAGAGAAGAGAACCATAAGCGTGGACATCTGGACATTAATGCCAAAGAACTTGCCATGCAGCTTAGTCCACCAGTCTGCAACCCTGCATATATTCAAGAGAGCTTCAGTTTTTAGGACCTTGTTTTTAAATATGAATAGGCAGCCCAGGATTGCATGACATTTGAAGAGAATTATCAAATAGGAAAAGGAATTGAGGCAATGCAAAACTCAGAAAAGGAATTGAGACAATGCAAAACTCAGAAGAAAAAGCTAAAGAAATCTAAAACTAGAACAAAGTTAGATAAGAAGAGAAATAAGAAAATTAGAGGCTCCATTAAGAAAGCCCAATGTCTGAATAATAGAGAAAGAGTGGATAGAGAAAGAATGGAGGGAATAGAGAAAATTGAAAAAAAAAATAATAGATGTCTCACCCATTCAATCTGTAACCATATTTGAACCATTACTAGTTGATTCTAGGTTGAGAGATGATTTTTGTTTGCTGTCATGCTAATGTTTTTTGTTCAGGTTTTATCTATTTGATATGTTCACTGTAGTGGTAAAGATTTGAACTGAAGTAAAGAAGTACTGTTAAGTGAAAAGGTAGTAAGAACACAAGTCTCTGGGATGTATTCCTTACACATGATAAATACATGTATTGCTTTAAAAGCTTGGCAACTTACAGGTTTTGTAGAGTTTTTTTTTACATTGAAGTTTTTTTCTTCCTTTCCCTGTCCACATCTCCCCCAACATTGCTAATATGCCACTTTTCAGCAATTTGCTTCACGTTTTCCACAATGCTTCCTTACTTAGAAATCTCCAGATGATGATGATGAAGAAGAAGAAGGTCTATTGTGTCCCAAGCACTGTGCTAGTTTCTTGACACACGTCACCTCCACATCTGAGGACTAGATGGGTGGTATTCCATTTCATAGATGAGGAAAACGGGGCTTAGAGACATTAAATACTTTTTATAAGATAATGTCGCTGTACATGCATGCACTAGTCAGGTCTGACCGACTCCAGGCTCTGATTTTTTTCCCTCTTGATCATTATCACTGTGCCTCTTCCTGCCATGTAGTAATACTTGAAAGCACATGAGTTTTTATTCAATCTGTAAGGTGTGCCGAGTCTTTTAGAGATATGTTTGCCTCCCTTCCTTTAAAGGAGGTCCTTATATAAATGATACTCATCCAAAAAATGTCTGTTTGAAGCACTTGCTTTGTAGTAGGATTAGTGTATTACTAAGGGCTTTTCAGACTCCTCAGTTGCTCTAGGCAGATGCCCAAAACAATGCTGAGGGGAAGAAGCCATCATGGGAAAAGATCAGCTTGAAAGCTAAGCTGGGAAAAGATTATGGAAGGCTGCTTTACTGATCGTTAGAAATTAAAAACAAAAGCTGTATACATATTGACATATACAGTATCCTAGTGAGTTACTAATTTATCTTAATTTATATTTGTGGCATTTATAATTTCTCCATTCTCTAGTAAGATATAAAAGAACTGATTCACAGTGTTTTAAAAATTACCTTAGTTTCCAGATTAGTTGTTTTATAGCATTTCACAATATATGATTTGACTTCCTTTGTAAGACCATCATCCCAACCCAGGAAGCTCTCTAGCTTAGTGTCTCTGTCTCATTTACAATTTAAAAATCTTGTGCATAGGAGAAATCATATCCCTGTTCCTTTAGTCATATTCAACTGAATGCAAATATATCATTGAAAAATTTTGATGGAGACTTTGGAAGTTATTTTTGTATTTCAAAAATTGCAACAGTGTAGTTACTCAGATGCATTAGCTCCTAGAATAATAATTTCTTAAAAATAAACACACATACAGTTAATAAATTTTAATTCAGGATTTGACTATGGCAGTTTGTAAATAACTATGCGCAGTGTGCTTTACTTTATACAAGCAGATCGTCACTAAAGGGGTGTATATAAACTAAATTGCATAAAAAGTTCTAAATGTACTAAGATTTTTAAATATAAAGAAAACATGTAAGTGCTGGAAAAATATATTTTTATAATCTTGAATTGGGGAGATATTCTAAACGTGATAAGAAAGCTAGAGTTATTAAAGGCAAAGGGAAATGGATGGAGTATTTCCATTTGATAAAAGATACCATGAACAAAGTGAAAAGACAAATGACAGACTGGGAAAAGTACTTGAAATAAATCAGGATTAATATAAAAACTCTTACAAATCAATCAAAAATAAGTGAACAACTCAGGAGAAATATTGGTAAAGAAAATAAATTTAAAAACCCTACAAAACAAATACAGATGGCCATTAAACATATAAAACTAATTTTCTCAATCATCAAATAAATTCAAATTTAAATAAGGTATAGTTATTTATCAGTTAGGTCAAGGAATGATGTATCAGTCAGGGTCCTGAATGAGGAAAATATACCACATTAGGTATTTCAAACCCAGGGATTTGTTACAGGGAATTGATTACCGAAATATTGGAGGGCTGAAAGAGCACAAAGGGAATGCTGAAGTGACCCAGATGTTAGAAACTGCAGGAAGCAGCTGCCACCCCTAGGGGCCCTGGGGAGATGAAACAGGTAGTATTGCCAGAACACAAGGACTTTGAAGGAGGGGGCCCACTGCCCAGGAATTAGTGAGGAGTCTGAGGGGACTGCAAGGCTGGCATAGAGAGTGACAGAGGAGCCTGGAGCAGTAGCTAGCGGTGTGCTGCGGCTAGAGGGAGGTGGGGAAGGCAGGAGTCTGCAGGCCTCCTCTCCCCACCTCCCACTCACCTTCCAATCTCCCGTTAGTACCTCCCCATAGCAGAACATGACCTGAGCTGGCAAGGAGGTTGAGGAAAATTTTCTCAGAGTCTTCAGCCTCAATGTCACAGAGCTTTGGGGCTGAAATAAGAGGTACATAACTACCTAGGTACTAATTATCAGTATTAGATGAAATATTTCTTTGCATACACTTGGTAGGAATGTAAATGGATTCATCCTCTTGGAAAGACAATTTGCCAGTATCTGTAGTAATTTTAAATGTGAATTCCCTTTGATCCAATAAGTCTATGTTAAGAAATTTTTCCTGTGGAAATGCTAGACCAAGTATAGAGAAATATATGTATGTGATGTTTCATTGGGATATTTGATATAATTTCAAGAATTGGAAATACCCTATATGTCTATCGTTAGGAGATTGGCTAAATATATCATGGTATTTCTTTTCTTTTTCCTTTTTTTTAAAATTTAACTTATATTTAAGGAAATACATGGTCATTAAAAAAGTTTTACTTACGTTATTGAGTGTTAAAAGCAGTGTTATATATGGTTTAACATTTTGTCAAATCCAAGAGAGTCACAATATTGAACCTGGCATGGTTTTTCAACTGCTGTAAACATTAATTTAGAGGTAACAAGTGCAAAATTTTGTGTGTTGTAGTTTATTTTTTCTTTCAACAGTTATGAATGCAGGGATGAGGAAATATTTCCTACAAGCTAATGATCAGCAGGACCTAGTAGAATGGGTAAATGTGTTGAACAAAGCTATAAAAATCACAGTAAGTATGTGTTTTTCTTTGTGAAAGTTTTTTAATGTCTGGAAGTTATCATTACATTTTGAAAATATGCCTGCTGAATGTCCCCAGCTTACCAACAGGTTGCATACTCAAAGTTAACTTTGTGTTAACACAGCTGTTTATAATACGAATGTATTTTCTTATTTATATGTCTAACAGCCCTTAAAATCAGCCCATAAATACCTTTTTAACCCATTGTTTACCTAATAATGGTACATATTACTGTTAATTGTAACCATGCTTATAATAATGTTTCTAGGAGAAAGTGCATGTAGAGTTCTACCTTGAGAATATGTTTTTCCTTCAGGGGGAGAGGAAGAGGCTTTCTGCTGCCCACCTGTAATGCAGTAGGCACCCACTTCTTCCAAGCTGGAAATGGCACTGGTGTTAGGTAGGGTAGGATTTGAAGACAGGGGCAGAAAGGGGTGGTGAAGGGCTTAGAAATGACATACAGAGGAGGGACTGGATCTGAAGAGCTGTGGCCGCCGGAGGGTCCTGCCCTTGTGGCGTATGTATCAGGCTGTCAGCCTTATGCCTGTCCTGCTTTTTTGCCTTGAGTTCTTGCCGCCTTGCCCTCCTCTTCTATGCTGTGATGTCCTGCTTCCAATCTGGACTTTTCTTTTTGGCTTTCGGATGAACATTAATAAGTGTTTATTATTTGCAGTATGCCAGGCCTTGTGCTGAAGGTTTTACCTGAATTATCTGGAAAAGTGAGGCTTAGAAGGATTGAGTAACTTTTATAGGTTTCATAGTTCGTGAACTATGCTGTGAGCCAAATCAGATGGTTTGACCCTGGAGCCTAACTCAAGCTTCCTGAAAAAAAAAAGAGCCCTTTCCTTATTACTCTTTTTTTCCTAAAGCCAAAAGCAAACTCTTCCCCTCTAGGAAGTGTTTATTCCTGGTGATGATAAGCAAGTAAACAGATGGTTACCTGATTATACCTCTCCTTACCTTTTTTTTTTAATTGGGAGGTATTTTAATGCAGGTTATTCAGTAGCTGAAAGAACAACAAAACAAGAAAACCACTAAGTGTAGAAAAAAATTAATCAATTTGATTAGCAAATTTGACCCAATTGAAATATTGAATATTAGCAAATGTGACCCAATTGGAAGACTGCCCCTGATACCTAAAGAATACAGAGTTTCAAAAACACATAGAATATCCTAGAAAATGACTAAACAGAATAATTTATAACATGTCCTCCTGGCATTTTCTATTAAAGTTGAAGAAACATACCTTACTTTATAAACATGCACTACAAGGTATATACAAAATTTTCATAGCAGCAATATTCATAATGACCAAGAACTGCAAAGAAAACCCAATGGCAGAAGAATGGATATTTAATGAACAGCATATATAACAGTTTCCTTTATTAAAGTCAATGGTAGACACATATTTGGATTATACTTATACACTCCTACAATTTTTAAATTTAGATTGATTTTTTCTAATTCTCCAAATTTGGACTTCAATCACTTTGGCCATATTAATTCTCATTCTCTGTAATACTGTACCATCATTTAATCTGTTAGGAATTTTGGAATCTTATTTCTAAAGTTAGGTTATGAAATTTGTGTTTAGGTGAATAAAAATACTGAAATTGCATAATTACATAATCATCCATTGAAAGTTAAATATTTTAACTTATCTTGAGATCCACAAATTAGCATGTATATTTTGCACTGTATTCCATGCCATAATGCAATTGAGAAATAGCTCATATATTCCTGAGAGGTGGAAATCACATTTGTCTTATAAACTGAAATTAGAAGGGAGTTTTGAAATGCACATTATTCCAATTTCAATTTGTGTATGTGTTTTCAAATAGTTGTTTTTGAGATTTTGTGAATGAATGGATGAACCAGGGAAAATATTTTGTGGTGACTACTAAATAGTACTCTCCTTCTTGGTACACTTTATTAAAAAAATAAAAAAGAGAACTAAAATTATAATATCACCAATAAAGACTAAGTTACCAAATTCATCTGCTAACTGAATCCCTACAATTAGACAAAACTACCTAACTTCACTGACAACTTTTTTTTGTTTTTACTATCTTAATGTTTATTTGTTATTATTGTTGTTTAGGATGCTGTAACTTAATGATTTAGAACAAGATGCTTCTTTTTTTTTTGAGAGGGTATCTCTCATATTTATTGATCATATGGTTGTTAACAACAATAAAATTCTGTATAGGGGACTCAATGCACAATTCATTAATCAACCCCAAGCCTAATTCTCAACAGTCTCCAATCTTCTGAAGCATAACGAACAAGTTTTTACATGGTGAACAAGTTCTTACATAGTGAATAAGTTCTTACATGGTGAACAGTGCAGGGCAGTCATCACAGAAACTTTCGGTTTTGATCACGCATGAACTATAAACAGTCAGGTCAATTATGATTATTCGTTTGATTTTTATACTTGATTTATATGTGAATCCCACATTTCTCCCTTATTATTATTATTATTATTATTATTATTATTTTTAATAAAATGCTGAAGTGGTAGGTAGATGCAAGATAAAGGTAGAAAACATAGTTTAGTGCTGTAAGAGGGCAAATGTAGATGATCAG